TTAACATAACCTCCTTTTAGCTCTATACACATAGTCATTAGGAAACAGATAGAACAACAAATTGTTTTACATAGATTATTTTTTATTTTTTAATATAATCTCCTCTTAGCTCTGTACACTTTAACAAACGTTTCTCCAACTTTTTCAAGCCATCTGAAAAGTAAGATTTCTGGAGGTCCTCAGAATAGTTATCTGTTTGGGCGTTGACCTCCTCGTTCGTCGAGTCATTTTTTTAAGTTTGAAAATAAAAAAATGCCACTGCAGGCCAAATCTTGAAGGAAGTTTCTTGCTTCGATGGACAATAAAAATGAAACCACATGGTGAATATGACTGAGACTTTGACATCTGTCCAGTCAGCCATGATGCTTACCAGAAACAAACCATTTTCGACGCTACGAGTACCAAGTCTTGGATTCGACAACGAATCTTTCGCTCGTTTGCAATTTATCAACCAAAACGTTAATTTCGTCTTCGTTATGCACAAAAAATAATCGCCGAAGCGAAGATCCGCGAGGCTCATTTAATATTTCGAGATTAAACGAACGGAACGGTACGGTTATTACGGTCGTTGAATCGTACCGTTTTAAAAAACACGAGACTTTAAAATCTCGTAAAAAAATAATCTTGTATAAAAAAAAAGAATTTGCTCCAGCGTCGCGCGTGCCACTTCGAATTTTACACCTTTCTCCCGAGTCTGTTTTTCCCGCTGCAGTACGACGATAAACGCGAATAAAAATACGAGTCGAAAATTACGCGTCCAATAATTTTCGTAGAATTACATTCCTAATTGCAGGATGTCGAAAGTTACGGGGCAAGACTGTTATTTTGCTAATAATTTATCCGTTAACTTTTAATAAATAACCAAAGGTGACCGATATGGTGGAGTGGGGGGAGGAGTGGGAAGGGGGAAATCCATTTTAAAACGCAATCTTCGAAGACGCGATTGACGTAGCAGTATATTTCACGGCGATCCAATTATGCCATGCATATATCGCACCCGCGGTAGATTGCACCGGCTTACGTAACGTTACATTTTTCATAAATTTCTTTGTGAAGCGGCCGCGAGACGCGTAATCGTTCTCCCTCGACTTCACACTTCACGTGCCGCGGCGTCCATGAATATGCGGCGGTGTCCGCGGTTTCGTGCAACCATAACCGCCATATATTAAAAGAAGCACCGGTATTTATATCGTGCGAAACCTTGGATATTCGCGAGGCGGACCGACGCGTTCCGCATTCTTACGCGCGAACGTCCCGCGGACCGTTCCCCGTTCGACTCCTGCAGACCGGCAGAAATACATCCCCGCCCCCCTATAGAAACGAAAAGAAAAATTCCCTCTTCCTCGAAAATTTCGTCCGGTAAAAGCGCTCCTTCCGTCGAAAAGCACGAAATCTCGAGAACCCGTTAAATGGAGCTCGAGCCAGGAAGCCGGAATCCGTTTAATAATTGAACGGCGTAACGGCGTCTGACGAGTGCATTCCGCTTCCTTCAGTTTTCTCGTTGTTGGATCGTCGGAACGAAAAGGAAGAAAATTGCGGGGAACGTCGTAAATTATTTTTGTACACGCACCATCGAAAGTTAACCGAACCCCGTTCCAGAGTGTAATGTACGGGGGTCGTTCGATGAGTCCTTTGGAAAATCCAAGACCTGGTGCTAGACAATCGTCAAAGTCTCGGTTATATCCATCACATGGTTTCATTTTTATTGTCGATCGAAGCAAGGAGCAAAATCATGGTATTGAAGTTCGACTTATTACAACAACGTTGAATAATAAAAAAAAATCTGCCAAAAATAATTTGTTCTTCTATTTTTTTTTAAGGACTTATTGAACAACCCTCGTACCTAACAATAGTCTCTTGATCGATGTCTAAAAATTTTTAATCGTAATCGTGCTCCCTCTCGTGTCCATTTTTTGCCGCCATTTTGTATTCGTCTGAAAGAAATCGGAATTCCAAACAACGCTCGACTTCCTCCGCGCATTTTCGTTTGCGCGTTTCCTTTCAACCTTTTTATCGCAAGATTGAACGTTCCACGCGACATCGAGTCCTCCGAGCCCCCTCTTCTGGACCAGTGGCCGCCATCGTTGGTAATATTCTCATGAAAATCTTGCGTGCACCTCGACGCATAAGTAACCCATTCAGAAACGGAGAAACAGTTTACAGTTGCGTGCACGGTAGCCGCCTGTTACACTTTCTCGCACCCTTTACTTTGTCCCTACGACAACTCCGCGATGACGTCAGCCACGGGCAGCTTTGAAGTTTAACAAACATCGATAGCAGCAGCCTGGCCAACGACGGTTCTGTTATCCTCGGCCTTCTAAGCAAATACGCGGGCTAGGCTCTTTGATGTCGTCTAGATGCTCGCCCCCGCGATTGGTTCGAGACCTTCCGACTTTTTCACGACGATTTAGTGTCCCTGGATCGTCTGCTATCGGAACCTAACCTCAATTCAATATCATCTTTGAGATATAAATTCAAAGCTACGAGGTTTAATTATTCGACTATGTTCGTTGTCTCGGGATCAATACAATCATTTTTGGTCAATAGACATACCCTTGAAATCCCACCCACTTTCGAGAAAAAAATTCGAGAAGGTGCGAAATTTTTCGATAAAATTAAAGAATTTCAAATCGTTCTAAAAAAATTATTTTCAGTTGCAGGGGTAAGTTTCAATCATTTTTCGTGAATAGACCTACCCTTGAAATCCTATCCACTTTCGAGAAAAAAATTCGTGAAGGTATGAAATTTTTCGACAGAATTCAAAAATTTCAAATCGTTCTGGAAAAATTATTTTCGGTTACGGGGGGCAATTGCAATCATTTTTGGTGAATAGACCTACCCCTGAAATCCTACTCACTTTCGAGAAAAAAATTCGCGAATGTATGAAATTTTTCGACAGAATTCAAAAATTTTTAAACATTGCTTTACGTTTAAAACATTGCTTTAAGTTATAGTAGAAAACTAGACAGGAACATATGGGACGAGCTAATATATAGCCACGAAAAATGCACCGCCATTTTGGGCGCTCGAGTCGTATCCACGGTTCCAGATACGAACAGTCAACACGTTAACATCGGGGAGACTGTTAAAACGATCGATCGCGTCGCGTCCGTGGCAGGATTTACTCGATAAGCCTCGCCCGGCGAGTTCCGACTATCAGATCCGTACGAAAACGATGATCTGAAACGTCTGATCGCGGAGAGCGAAAAAGTTTCTTAATTGCATCGCGCTAGACGCGTTAATAAAACGTGCCCGGGTATTTTTCTTTGCCCATCAGTTGGCCGGTAACGCTCGCGCGAGTCGGCCGAGATAGCTCCGGGCCGATATCCGTTGGACATTAGCGGGCTCGTTCGAACGAGAAAACGTTCGGGGCGATTAGATTATCGTCCGGGTACCGCGACAACGCGGAAATCTCGAGGATCGCGCTGAAACTTTTTGCGACCAGCGTCGCCACGATACGCGTATAATGCATCTGTATCGGGCTCGTTGAGGCGAGCGTTTACCCATCATCAAGTTATCGCTGTTCGTCACGATGATAGAGCGTCCAGCGCGCCGACCCGATCCCATGCAATTTGTCAGCAGAGACAAACTTCGCTCGGGGGCTTGTTCCTGGTCGCTTTTACGCCGCGCGAATACGCGTGAAAAACGAACGGAGCCGCTCGATCGAATTCCGCGCCGCCTTCTTGCGAGAATTCCTTTATCATCGTCGTCGTCCACGGACAGCCATCGGGATCGGCTGTTCCGCGTCTCTCCACAATTTCGTCGGGAACATACGACGGTATGCGCGGAACGTAGGCCTGTCCGGATACTCGAAACATCCGAGTAGAAATTGGAATCGAATTTATAACTCCCCTTACCGAGCATTGCGCGTTACCCGATCGATCGTGTAACATTTAGGTCCGGTGTGCCGTTCTAGATTGCTAATAACGCTGCGAGACGCGTAGCGGATATAGATAGAATTAAGCGGCGAAACGATCAGAAGAATCTAACCGGGGTAAAAAGAAAGGAAAGGAAAATAAAACGACGTTGACCCTGTGTCTCCGCGTCGATCGAGGCTCCCATGGCTCTACCCGCGTCGTATCCGAAATTGGAACGGCTTATCCCGCGAATCGAACGAGATTTCGTCGTATCGAAATAGAATGTTTGTTTCGCGGGGACGAAAGGCAGGGCCGCGCCACAGTCTGCTGGCACCGTGTTCGGGCATTCGGCGACGTGACTTCCGACACGGCGTGATCCGTAGAAAAAGAAAGACGATGGAAGCTCGGGTGATCCGACGCACCGGAGGTTCCGGGCTCCGGCAGCGATTCATTAAACCGAATACGTTACACCACCCTCGGTAATCCCACGAAGGGATCCTGGCAACCGATAACAGGAACTCGATAGCGAGTTCAGCAAACCTAACCTCGAGCAAAATTTCATTCGTATACACGGATCTCCATTATTTATTTATTCACGAGATGACTTCTCCGTGCGCGTAGATTCGCGATGTTTAAAACAATATTAAGTAGCGGAGATCGACGCACGATAGTTTCTTAACTCTAGATACATAGTTTAGAACTCGCATTCGTGCTGACCCACGATAGAATTACTGTTTGTGGGAACGATACGATCGGATTTATTCAGAATAAAACGCACGAACTTTCCGCCCGATGGAATTAACCTTCTGTTGGAGATACTCCGGGAAAAATAATGCATTCGGTAGCGCGAGGGATTTTTATACGTTTTCAGCACGTACATAACCTCGATTAAGAGTTTTCCTATTAAAGGTATTCTACTCTAAATTTGTCTAGAAATAAATCTTCTATGTTTAAAATTATTTCGAGGAATTCTGCGCGCTAACGTTTCACGCGTTCCACAGTAACATGATTTACGTGGTCGCAGTTTCGAAGGTGTCAAGTTACGTGGCCGGCTGACTGTTTACTTGGCCTTGGTGTCGAAAGCTTAGCAAAACTCGACGCGAGATCGCGGTTAGTGCGCCGATTGTTTACGTGCCCGGCTGCAACCTCGAGAAGTGTCGCAGTCGTATTTTTTGTCCGGGACCGGGAGTCGACGCGTTTCGTTCGCCCGTAAGAAAGAAGGTTTAACGAGAGAAAGAGTTTAACGAAGATTCTAGTGCCGTGAGGCGTTTTCACGAGGTTGTACGTTTTAAAAGAAAGCCAGACGCTAACGGCCGTCGTGACGCGTACGCAACTTTATTGCTTCGGTAGCCATCTTGTCGTACGGGCTCGAGATTTATCTCGTCGGCTCATTACGGTAGCGTCTTGTAATAATATTTCGAATACTCTCGTGTGTCTCGTTACGGTCTACAAAATCGGTGTAAAAGACTGTTTTCGACGCTGTGCGCATCGAATTGATCACCGAATCGTCTTGAAAAGCGGTTAGTTCGAGTTAGATTCACGCGAGCTAACCTAAAATTACAAAGTGCGGGAGAGTGTGGGTGACGGAGAACCACACGAAGGTATGCATATAATGCGAATTAGTAAAACCGATGAAACTACGTAGAGGTGATGAACATTTATAAAATAATGAATTTAAAAATTTCAGATGAAGAAACAAGGAGAGGAATCATCAATCTTCGTCTGATAACAGTGGCGGTGAGTTCACGTTTTATTCTATAAAAATATAGTGTAATAGCGTGAGACTCGAAACTTATATTTTATGTTACGGATTTGACCAAAAAGTTAGCAATGAACAAATTACCGATCAAAAGTGCCAACAGTTTCCAGTACTTTTCAGTCGCACGCCAATTAAGAAATGTGCTTGTTCTGTAAGAGTAATAATAATCGCGATGGCTATTACGAGCAATATACTTGGTTTTCTATCGCTACAAAATTGGTCGAGACGACCGTCCAGTTCGATAATCGATGTAAAATACAAGAGTCGAGGTACTTTCGCAATCTCGAGCGGAATTATTCGTTACGCGCGGAGCGAAACCGAAGGAACGCCCGGGCGATTTTTCGCGTTCCGTTGAATCACCGTGGCCGAGGAGCACCTCGCAGCTTGGAACGCGGAACGACTATCGTGTGTCGACGCGGGAACAGAGACGGGCGGAACGGTTCGAAGCGGGACGGAGATAGGCGAACGTCGGACGCGTATAACCGTCGAGGCGATAAAACGCCCACACGTATACCACCTTGGTAACTGTCGCCGGGGCAATTGAATTAATGCCAGCCTACAAATTGAAGCCGGTGTGGGATCCGCGCCGAGAGAGGCTCCGTTGCTTCGATAATTGCTGGAAAGTGGCGCGGGTTCGCGGGATCCTGGGCGGCCGCGTCGCGACGTAACGCCGATCCGGAATTCGAGTCATCGGGGGACCTTCTTTCGAGGCCGACGTCCACGCCGATTTCCCTCCCCCTTCGACGCGCGAGGCGTACTTTAATTCGTCAGACTTTCTTGGTACAGACGTTCGATGTTTTAAATACGATTTTCGATTTTATTACAATTTTGTTCGCGAATCGATCTCTGCGTGGTATTCTTCCGTTTTACTTGCGGCGTATAAAAGCTTGCGTATAGAAAAATTATTCCCATCGGTCTCGGAAGCGCTTATAATTCAATTGGAAATCAACTAGCGATTCCTCGTCCGTTTCGATACGCGATGAATCTGAAAAGATTTCGATACGTGTCGATTCACTGGTATAGCCGTTGGAATCGTCGATCTCGGGCGATCACTTATTCGTTCTCAGCGAAAACAGCACTTTATACGTGGAGGGAACGAACCCGCGGAACGGTAAAAGAAATATATCTCGTGCGAGCGGCTTGAGAATCGATGCCATACTGATCTCAAAAGCAGGCTAGCCTTCCACCCGAGACATTGAACAAACTGTAACAGTACGAGAGCGAGAGAAAGAGGGACGAAGAAAATGGTACACGCAAAATAAATCGTCCCATATCTACGGTGGATTAAACGGTTCGGACGCCATCGCCTTGCCGCCGTCTCTGATGGGCTAAATTGTCAGATGGTTACTGATATTATTATAATTTGCATCGCGTCGCTCGATGCCCTCCTCTCGCGTTGCAAAGTGACGTATGTACACACGATTCACAGAATACAAGTATCAATAGGAATCTTAAACGATGAACCGTGTTGTATTAATTAGTCCACTAACAACAGAATAGTTTATATTATTAAAGTAATATTTTGGTAGAGGTTATGGCGTCTCGTTTAAAACTTGAGGGGGGGGACCTATTTCCTTTTAAGACGTCCGTTGAGAAATCCAGCCACGCTAGAAACTTCGTTCGAAATGTCCGTTTTGGGTTTCGGAATTCGATCGAGTTGCACGCAAAAAAGATATGGCTACCGATCAATCGTAGTCGGGTGGCCGTCGTCGAGCACGCACGCGCCAATGATCTCTCCATAATGAATGAGAGAGCGGATCGAGCAAGGGCGAGCGAATTCGAGAGCACGTTACAGCAACTGTTATGCAAATTCGGCGAATGACAGACCGAACGCCGCGCGAAGAACGATTATTCGAGGCAAGAGAGCACAGAAAACTCGAGGGATCGGTGAAGGGGGGGAATTTTCAGTTTGAAATTTTCAAGAATTTTTTTCAAAAAAAAAAACAAAATTTTCCAGGCATATTTATACATGCCTCAAGAAGCTTTATGAATTTTTCTGTGGCCATATTCAGCAAATATTTTAGTGGGTGACTTCACCGATTTGACTTGCATTTTTTTTTATATAAAAAACTACAATTTTCAGAGAAATTTGAAATTTGAAATTTCTACAATTGCTGCCCCCGGGCGAAGTTAACATTGGTTTGCTAATAGATAATTTGTAATCACAGCCATGTACTGTTTAACGTATCGTGCTGGCAAATATAGTTGTGTTTAAGGAAGTAATAATACAACATGGCACGATGACGCTATTTCGGAAAATACGATGTCTAATTTCTAATGCGAACCAGTTACGACTTCAAATATTTATTTCTTCGTCATTTAAACATAGTTCTACGCACGGTTCGAACAGCATATTTTCTGGATTACCGGTTTCCCACTAAACGCAAAAAAAGTAACGATTTTTCGAGACGACAAACCAGAATCCCTTTTAAGGCCGAGATCTGGTTTGTTGAGTGATAAAATGAGGAACTTGTATTTTGAAAACAAGGCGTCGCGCGAAATTCAAAGTTGACATCGTGATTTATTAACGTTTAAGCTATAAATATACGTATCATCGGAATATAAAAGTATCTGGAAGAAATTAATTATAGAGGACGTCGAGTCGTAGCCCCCAACAACAACAAAAAAAGATTGTAGGCGTCGATGAAAACGATGTCAAGATCATCCAGTGACAGAAAACTAAGAAAAGATTCTTAATCTCTACGAATGTGACTATCTTGATCATTATTAAAATATTTCAAATCAGTCTGGAAAAATTATTTTCAGATGCGGGGGTCAATTGCGATCATTTTTTGTCAACGGATATACCCCCGAAATCCTACGCATTTTCGAGAAAAAAATTCGAATAGGTAGGCAAATTTTTCGGCGAAATTAAAATATTTCAAATCATTTTGGAAAAATTATTTTCTGATGTGGGGGTCAATTGTGATCATTTTTGGTCATTAGACATACCCCCGAAATCCTACGTATTTTCGAGTAAAAAATTCGATTAGGTAGAGAAATTTTTCGGCGAAATTGAAATATTTCAAATCATTCTGGAAAAATTATTTTCTGATGCAGACGTCAGTTGCGATCATTTTTGGTCAACGGATATACCCCCGAAATCCTACGCATTTTCGAGAAAAAAATTCGAATAGGTAGGCAAATTTTTCGGCGAAATTAAAATATTTCAAATCATTCTGGAAAAATTATTTTCTGATGCGGACGTCAGTTGCGATCATTTTTGGTCAACGGATATACCCCCGAAATCCTACGCATTTTCGAGAAAAAAATTTGAATAGGTAGGCAAATTTTTCGGCGAAATTAAAATATTTCAAATCATCTTAGAAAAATTATTTTCGGACGCGGGGGTCAATTGTGATCATTTTTTGTCAACAGATATACCCCCGAAATCCTACGCATTTTCGAGTAAAAAATTCGAATTTTTAGACAAATTTTTCGGCGATTTTGAAATATTTCAAATCATTCTAAAAAAATTATTTTTGTTGAAAGGGGTTAAATTACAATCATTTTGTAATGTAATGAGCACTCCGGTTGAAGTATCGATGGAATGATTCGAACAAACGTCAAGGATAACCCCAGACATTCTGAGAGACGTTCAACGGTAATCATAATGCATAGAAAATTTGCTCGCTGTTCTACGTGTTAATAGTAAAGTCAATTTTACATCGAAACAGACCCAAAGACCACTTTAAAGACGGAAATGGTTCGAAAAATCGTCGCGTTTGATCTCGATCGAAACCGAATTCCGCGAGGTGAAAGGGACCGTTCGTTCGCGTCGCGAGATCCATTTTCACCGAACCCGAGGCGCTCGAAGCCAAAGGAGAGAAGAAAAAAAAAAAAGAAACAAAAAAAGACGAAAGAAGGCGCGGAGATTATCGAAATTCAGGCTTCCTGTTTCGCAACCACGTCACGAGAACACGGTCCGCGGTTGGCCGACGAAATTCCACGAGGCGCGGGAACGAGCGTCTTGCGAAACACGTGCCGCGGAACGAATCTCTACTCGAGCCAAGTTCAAAATCCGACGCGGTCTTTCGGCCGTCGTCGTCGTCGTCGAGGCCTTGCGTGTAACCTTCGGAGGTGGTAGCGACCGAATCGAAGAACGTGACGAAGATTCGAGAGAAATTGTACGATACAGGGCGTGTACATAGTTACCGCCAAGAAGGAACCACAAGGACCAAAGCATCGGTTCAGAATATATTTAAAAAAACATTGGGTAATTTTCTAAGCGTGTTTTTAAAACGTTCATCGATTAATGTTGTAAATTGTATTAGTTGGCCCCGCAATGAATACGTTGGCGAAATTGCCCTGGGTACGACGACGTAATTTATGGCGCCTATAAATTTCGTAAAACTGCTGATCGTTGATAGTTCCTTCTCGCGGGAAAGGGGTCGCAAAGCGAAGGCGTGCAGAAAAACAGGTGTCGTTCTGTTATCGACCCAGGCGCCGATAGTAAAATTACGTTTCGATCGGTGCTTTTTTCGCGTCCGTCTGCGAGTCGCGGTACCGCCTCCGAACGAAATCAGCCTTAATGAAAATTCCCCCAGCGGCGCGGTGCGCGGGGGTCCGTCGCGCAACACTCGTGAATCGTGGGATCGTGAGCGTCGCTCGCGAAATTTATGCGTCTTACGAATCCTAGTCGCGGGGCGACATACCTATGCAAAGCAGCTTCGAGTACCCTCGTTTCTTGCCGCGATAACCACCTTTCCGCCGATTTTACCGCCGCGACTGGGTATCGCGTTATTAAACGAACGTTATTTTTCCAACGTCCTTCTGCCCGCTGAGATTTCCCGTGCCTCGACGCTTCTGCGCCGCGTCGTATTTAACGACGGTGTTTCTTGTGCTTCCTGTTGTTCGTCCAAAGGATTAACGGGCTTCCGTTCTTCCAGACTGACGTGCATTCACGTTCCCCGTTGAATCACACTGCAGTCTATTACTTATTCACGAGAGCGAGAAAATCGAACGAGGAATTACAAAA